ACATTCAAAATTGAAAGCCCACTACCTCCAACAAGCAGACTAACCAAACGACAAAAACCAGTCCACTCACAAAATTAATCAGAAAGATAAAACCAGACAATTAAAACAAAGGTCACTAGTCCAAACGAAACGACAGGCATCAGTGAATAAAACTGAAGAAGCGCCAATTGAACAAAAAGAGTAGGTGGGAGATAAGTAGTGGGATTGCATTACAAATGCAGTTTGTTGAGGTGTAAAAAATGAGCACAACGATAGAGAAACATAACATATTTAATGATAAGCTTGGTGTGAGGTGAATAGCTACAGACCAGTAAATATTACATCCACTGCATCTAGAATATCGAAGAAAATAGAGGAAAGATTTCCTAACAAACGCTAGAAAATGATATCATGATGTTCAGTCAGAATGGATTACTGAAATCATAGTCATGTTACCTTAACTTCTTTAACATCATAATCACTAGCTGTAACCACAGCCCACCAATAGCGTTCCCTTGCTTTGATACCTAAAAAAACACTTGGCCATTCTTTGCTACTAAAAATCCATACAAAAACGACAACTCTCTATTGGTTCAGATCAGGTCCTCTTTTAGCGACCATTGGGTTTCGGACTGATCATGTGGTGCAATTCACAGTAGCGTATTAGTTACTCTTATTTTTAGCCATCATATTCATGATATCCATAAATGTTTCCCACATGGTAAATTTTTTCTCCTTTCAAATCATCTTAAGATTCACACACAAACACGGACGTCTGTGATAATTCACCCCACTCAAAAATTGTGGTACAGAAAGAAGCTGACCTAGCCACAAATTGGTCAACTAAGTAGAAGCTTTGATTCAACATGGTCGTTCCACTGTGAGGAAGATACCTATAGACGAAAGATATGCAAAGGCTTCAGCCTTTCTATTGCAGTCGTTTAAATATATAAATATCTTAGGATTCTTATGTATCCGACACAAACAATACTGTATAAAAAGGAGTGGGTTAGCTGGTTAGATTTTGAAACGTCTTCCACTGAGATGTTTCAGACACATGGTGGGCGTAACAAGTCGCCAACTACGCCCTGAAGGTTAGCATTCATAAAGTTCACTAAACAAGATGATGAATTGTCAAACATTATGATCGTCATTTACATACTGACCTAAAGTCTTTTCGTTTAGTATAGCATAGATGTAAGTCTAATCAATATTCTTGAAGCCAAAATCTCTGTAGTCGAAGATATTCGATGGCGCTTACGTTTCTGATAAGACAGTAATATCGTATACTTGTAATTTCCTGTTGTTATTCTGAATCGAATTAACTGACTTCTGTTGCGGATGCTTCGATACTATCAGAGTATTTCTTATCTTATAGTTTACTTAGTGGTCAGGGCTTGAATGAAAGATGCGCGTTCCATCCAAATCGGGAAGCGTTAAGTGGTTAACTAGTTCACTAGCCGGTCCTAAGCCCGGAAAAACAGGGAAGGTTGGGCATACGGCTAGCAGCACTACCCCGTAAAACCAGTCCAAACACTACAGAAACTTTAAAGCACAGACAAAATATAAAAAACTCGTTCCTCACTGGGATCGGAGAGACGTAATCACACCGGTTGGTGAAAGCCTTCAGGAACCCAATTGGCCAATGTGTCTTCTTTCGATGCAAACGTAAATAAACATGGGGGCATGAAATGTCCGTACCATGTTTGAACCTAGCAAGGCTGTCCAGATTGCAAGACAGATGAGAAGGTATGGCAAAGAAGTGCTAGGAATCTGCGAAAGCAGATGGAATGAAAGTGGACTCTCCAAACTGCCAACTGCAAAACAGTCAATAATCTACTCTGGTCACCCAGACGACAACCACGAGCACAGCACACTGAGGGAGTGGCTATCATGATGTCCTCAAGAGCATCGAGTGCTCTCATGCAGTGGGAACCAATCTCCTCCACAATCAGGATCATAACAGCAAGGTTCAACTCAAAAGGAAGGAAAGTCACATTCGTACAATGCTGCACTACGCACCTACAAATAATGCAGATGGAGAGGAGGAATTCTACAGACAACTGCAATCAGTACTGCACAAGAATCCAGTTGGCGACATCAAAATTCTAATGGGCGATATGAATGCCAAACTCGAAGCGGACAACACGGGAAGAGAACGAATTGTGGGTCGAGAAGCGCTCGATGAAATGAATTAGAATGGAGAACTGTTTGCAAAGTTCTGCGTATTCAACGATTTGGTGATTGGAGGCACTGTCTTCAAGCACAAGGATATCCACAAAGCGAGCGACATGGATTTCACCAGACACCAGGAAACACCAAAAATCTGATCGACTTCATCTCAATGTGAAGAAAGTGGAGACACAGTCAGCTACTGAACACAAGATCAGATGTAAGTTCACACCACTCATTAGCTAGTGCAAGGAACTTACATTCAAAATCAAGTTGGAAGCCCTTCAAGAATTTGGTGAAAGACGACCACAGTTCAAGTTCAACACTTCGAACAGAAACTGAAGCACGAAGCTACAAAGGAAATCTTCACGTCAGTCATCAACACAAAATGGTAGATATCTAGCAACATCGCTGAACAAACTTGTGTGCATGAACACTGGAACTCTTTGAAGAAGATATGGAAAGAAACCTGTATAACCGTGTTAGGAAGGAAGAAGAAAGAAGACAAGGAATGGAATGGGTCTCGACGGACACATGGAAGCGGATAGAGCGGGGAGAGGAAGATGGTGAAACAGAAGATCAACCAGTGCAAGGATGCACAACGAAAAGAACTGAGCACAACGTATAAAACACTGGACAAAGAAGTGAAGAACAGTGCGCACAAAGACAAAAGACACTTCCACAACACACTGGCAAGTCAAGCAGAAAAGGCTGCTGGTAGAGGAGACACAGACCTGATAACATAGTATCAAATAACCAGGTTACTATCTGGGAGGCGAGAGATCAACACAGATGAAACCAATGAAAGATGATGAAGGAAACCTGATTACCAAATAAGAGAAACAACCGAAACAAAACAATGGGCTGACCACTTCAGAAAGCTCTTGAATCGACCACCACCACCACATGCAAGTCGTCCAGAAATACCACCTGCAGCCCAGTCACAGAACTACCAGTGAACACAAGCCCTCCGACGAAAGTCGAAGTCCTGAACGCCATAAAGCTACTGAAATGTGGGAAAGCAGCGGGACCAGATGGAATCCCGCCAGAATCACTGAGAACAGACGCAGAGACAACAGCGGACATGCTCACACCACACCACTATATCAGAATGTGTGAAAGGAAGAGAAGGTTTCTGCCGATTGGAAGAAGGGTTACCTTGTCAAACTGCCGAAGAAGGGAGACCTCAGTGTTTGCAAGAACTGGCGCGGAATCATGCTCCTGTCCACCCCAAGCAAAACATTAAGCCACATCATCCTGGAGAGGCTAAAGAATGCTCTGGATTCAAAACTACGACCAGAACAGGCTGGATTCAGGAAGTACAAATCATGTGCGGATCAAATTGCAACGCAACACAATGCATCATCATAGAATGGGAGTCAACCTCATCGATTCTGAAAAGGCCTTGGATAGCGTCGACCGAGGGGTAATTAGGCAGGTAGTTGCTTCAACACTATAGAGTGCCACAAATTTTTTTAAACCTCATTCAACATCTATATGAAAAGGCCACATGCCAAGTGATCCACAATGGATAACTCAGTGACGCCTTTGAAGTGAAGACGACCCGTTGCTCTACCAACTGAGATGAGATGTCCGACTACTCACCAGATTGCTATTTCACTACAATCACAAGTGGGGTTTTGCCTGACTACCATGTAAATTCGTGACGCGCATTGCTACCACTTGATCGTTTATTGCACAAAAGTACATGTAGAGTAAAAAGTTGATGAGTCCTGCTAAAATTTATAATATCAATAGATCCTGCTTTCATTGCGTTTGTTGTTTCTCGCAAATTTGTGTCCGTAAACTAATGTTTTCAAAGTTCAATGAATGAATGAATGTTAGAAAAGTGTTTTGAAATAAAGTTTTGCCTAAAAAAGGAATTTTCTTCTTTTCTGACGATAGTTTCACAATGTAGAGGAGATTTTTGAAGTGATTCAGCAACTTTAAGGAGAAACCCTTGATGAATTCCACACAAAGATTCCATACATCCTCTATGTCAACAGCAGCTATTCATGGAGTAAATATCTTCAAAGCCAATCTCTTTCTAATGAATAGTAATAATTCCTTTACTCCAAATGATACGTGTGGTACAGTGTGAAATTCTCAGCATGTAAATTTTGATAAATCCGTTCTGTGTATAACATCTTTAAGCGAAATAATCACTGCATTTGAATAATGTTGAAAATAACAGTAATAAAATCCACGATGTGTACCAGGCATCTGATATTACATTAGCGTATGGTTTCGGATTTTCCACACTAAGTCAGTCAGTGCTTCTGTATGGTTCAGAGACTTGGTGGCATGTTACGAAAGGCATTTCCAACAAACTAAAGACATTCATCAACAACTGCCTACGCTGGCTGGTTACTGAAGATCAGATAGGATGGCCAGAATAATAAGAATAAGCAACAAGGAACTCTGGTTGCCCCACCGCAACTAACCAAGAAAGAATCTATCACTCAACAAATATGCAGTGAAAGGAAGTGGAGATGGATTGGGCATACACTGAGAAGGCCGACTGGAGACATCAAGTGCCAGATCACGCCCTCAAGTGGAACACAGATGGGAAGCGACAAGTTGGGAGTCCGAGGTGAGGGTGATATGGAGGAGGTAGTGTGAGGAAGAAATGAGAGCTTCTGGGCTGTCGTGGAGTGAGGTTGAAAAGATTTCAGAGAACAGAGGTCACTGGAGACGTGCTACTGAAGCCCTATGTTCCACTAGGAACCCTAGGAACAAATAATAATAATAAGTGAGTATAAACTCAATAATCCACCAAACTCAATGGATTGATTCACCGATGAGTCATATACTGATTCTCAAGTGTATGAAGTTAACACTAGTGTTAATTGTTCATGTATAGCTTTACTTGTAAAATTGATTATGAAAGAATTAAAGAAACGAAAACTGTGATCAACTTTTACTAACTCTACAGAACAATCAAAACGGCAAATAAGATTTCTTATACTTATTAGAAACACAAAACAAAGTGTCTAGGATAATATAAAAGTCATATCTTAAGTGGAAAATATTATCATTGAAGGTTCCCCACCCCCCTCGCCTTGTATCACAAATTATTGGATCCAGCAGGAATAATAATCAATATAAGATGTTTCATTTTATACCATATGCCAAATTCTATAAACTTTTCAGGTAAAATGTTCTTATTTTCATTATTGGAAAACTATATAGACGATGACAAAGTGAGAAATATTTACTATAATTGATAAACCAATAAGAGATAAAATCATGATAGTAAAAAGCATTAAAATTACATAATTTTATCTTTTTCTACTTCAAAAGGCTTAAAGATTCATAAAATGAATAAATCGATTGATCATGTAGAATGCAGCAGCAGGTTTATCTTGAGGTACCATATGACCTGCACCACGAACTGTAGTATACATCAGAGATGATTCATGACCTTCAAAGGCTTTCCAAAATCCTCCAATCTGTTTTGTACCATCTTTCTCTGTATATAACCAAACTCTACGCGATGATATTAGCTACAATTCAAAAAGAAGGTAATCAAAATACAAAATATAAAAAAAGTAATAATTACTAGCTAATATTATATTATCGGGAGAACCTTAAAGTAGGTAGCCTCTTTCATCTACCTAGGCAGCATCGTTTCAACTGCAGGCGTCACAGACGACAACATCAAAGCCAGCCAGGATAGGAAAGACAGCAAGATAGGCGTTCATTAACCTGAAACCAGAGTGGAGATCTTCTGCACTCAGCATAAAGAACAAGATCCAGATTTTCAACACCAATTCAGTCAAGTCAGTGCTTCTATATGGTTCAGAGACTTGGTGGCATGTTACGAAAGGCATTTCCAACAAACTAAAGACATCATCAACAACTGCCTACGCTGGCTCGTTACTGAAGATCAGATAGGATGGCCAGAATAATAAGAATGAGCAACAAGGAACTCTGGCTGGCTGCCGCAACTAACCAAGAAAGAATTTATCACTCAACAAATATGCAGTGGAAGGAAGTGGAGATGGATTGGGCATACACTGAGAAGGCAGCGTGGAACACAGATGGGAAACGACAAGTTGGGAGTCCGAGGTGAGGGTGATATGGAGGAGATCGTGTGAGGAAGAAATGAGAGCTTCTGGACTGTCATGGAGCCAGGTTGAAAAGATTGCAGAGAACAGAGTGGAATGGAGACATGCTATTGAAGCCGTATGTTCCACTGGGAACCCAAGGGACAAATAACAATATCATAATAATAATGTATCATCTTATTTAGGTGATAAACACTGATGTCTACACTTATTAATCGCCTAATAAATAAATGTAACTCAAACCGATACAACTGGCATACATATTGTCTGCAATAAAGCCATTATCATTATTATTATTAGTAGTAGTAGTAATATGTAAATGTAATTGTAAAGCCTGACAAGAATTTAGCGAAAATATGTAATCGCTTCGAACTCTGTTTTCTAATTATCGATCAGGTGTTATACCAACTGACCACTAAGACCCAACCGTTGATCACATTTGAAATTCACTAGAACCACAGAAACCTTTGCTAGACCATCACATGAAGGAACGATGCGTAACTGTCTATCCTTCTTTGTCATCATATTAATTAGTTAACTTGGTCTTTGAGACCGAATCAAGGTGACTTTACACGAGATAAATGAAAATAGTTAACTGTCCCATCAATCATTCAAAGTAGAATAAACTAGTGTGTGAATGTGTCTTGTTAATCTACCTAATTACCCTACTAACAATTGATACACCTTTCATAATATAAAATATACAATCATAGTCAATTACAAATGAATAAAAACTAGGATTTAACCCTATTAGCGAATAACTTTATAAACAATAAAGTTATTTAACACAAAATATGCATAACACTTACAGGATTTATGCTAGAAATTATCGACTCGGAACAAAAAATGTGATAATCACGGAATACCCCTAAAGTATATCCATCCACTGAGCGAATACGCAATAGTAATAATAATAATAATAATAATAATAATAATAATAATAATAATAATAATAATAATGATAAAAGAGTCAACTGATAAGAACTATTATGATAGATTCCAGGGTATAGTTCAAGCACTGGATGTCTGACTAAGGTGAGTGATAGTGTTCTCCACCATCCCCCAACCCCCAGGACTTCAACCCTACACTCATCGTTGCAAACGTAAAAGCCTTATTCCACTAGACCACTGGGGCTTTAGGGTTTGGATGTAACGGGTATAGGGTTTAAGTCTGAATGGGAACACCACCCGTCATGGGGGATTCAGGTAAATCTGGCTGATGAGTCGCAAGCAGGACGAAACATGAGTCCTGGATATTACTGCTAGCCACCACCAAGTAGGTTACAACATAAATAAACAGGTCCGTCAATATTTAAAAATACTATCGGAATTTACTGCATTAGAGAGACACAACCAACTTGTTAAGATGATCAACAGAACACTTACTCAATATCATCTCATGATATTAGTGGTAGGTCTTATCATAATCCTTACAGGTTTTCCCTTATTGATCACTTCTACATCAAGTGTTTTTTTATTCCTTGACATAGTCAGCCTGCGATGAACTATATTGAATATGTTTTGTTCTAATTTTTGCCTAATCGTTAATTTCTATGATATCACATCGAATCTGAGTGATCAATTTATTGTATTGAGTGCAACTAAAGACAAATCTTTACTGCTGTGTCATTTAAAGAAACTTTGAAAACCTGGGAGTACTAGACAGCTGTTTAGTCTTTTCAATAGTGCGCACCCAAGACTCTTTTTTGGGGGGATTGGGTCTAGGGTTATCAGGTTTGGCAATGACCAACTTGGTTACTATTTTGGAATTCAGAGGTCTACCTTTTCTACTTCTGTGCATCTGTTTTATAATAATATCTATCATCTAATGTCATTGGAGGGCATCCACCTCATTCCTGACTTGGTTTTGAGATGAATTTCCCAAAGTTATAGAATGAAGCTGTGACTTGTGTGGTCAACCAAATCGGTAGTGGAGTGTATCCCAACCGATGACATTGAATAGTGGTCTAGTCATACCACGAACTCATAAAAGAGTGAAAATGTAGACAATCGGATACCCATTTGGTGATGAAACGATAACGTGCTCATCATAAGACTGGACGATAGTGTACTGAGGGAGTCATGGGTCCGCACTGCTGAAATGGTTGTTTATCGATCCTAGATTTTAAATACTTTCACAAATGATATGAAGAGAGCTACTTTGAAATAACTAAATCCATTTAGTTATTAGGTTATGGCTGAATCTATACAGGACTGAACGATATACATCAGGTGGTAACTGATATGATCATGCAGTCTTTAGCGTTTATCACTGACTGAAGTCTGCAGCTCAAAGTTTGCAAATATGACGCCTAAGTGAGGTGACAGTACGGTGCGTTGTGCTCTGATTTTACTTGTTAGAAACGTGATAGCTACACCAGTTACCATCCGGTAACTGATTCGTATACTCTTCTGTGAAATAGGTTTATTTAAACTAAATTAAATACTAGGCTGGTAGTTAGATGAACAACACCATAATGGTAATAAAAACGAAAATCCATTCGACTTACTTTAAGCTTTAAATTATCCACAAACCATTCATCACCAAAGTAATTACACGCCATATCAATATCACCATTATATATTAAAATAAATATCTGAAAGAACAGATTTAGAGGGGGAAAAATACAGAAGTTATTGGTAGTCTATTACTTCTTTAGTTTGAAGCGATGAAATAAGGATGGGGGGGGGGATGAATGATGAGTTTGTTTTAAACTATTCACTTCAAATATATTTTACTACCTATTAAGTGTTCAACTGAAGTCACGCTTCATACAATTTGTTTTTCATCAACTGGGGTGGCTTACACATGTCCTGCTCATGCCGAGTCACAGCCTATTTCAACGTATCATACTAGCAGAAGTTAAGTCGCGTTGGAAAACAGCTTCGGCTGGCTGCACTAAGGCTTGGTGCCAGTCGATGAAGTCCTTGAGTGCTGGTTTAAATTGTGCAGAAAGGTGTAGACTACTTGCATGGGGTCCCCAAGACGATAGGAATCGGTAAATGAAGATTCATGGTTACAATGACTCAGATTTATTCACTTTTTGATGTCTACTTAATTCTCTCTCCTCTCACATACATCTCTGTCTACTTTGATATCAGTCTTTCCCACGTACTTGTTCTTTGTATACTATTGTGAAGCGTGGCACGTAGAACCAATACACTTCTGTGAGAGGTTCTACATTGCTTTTCTTTGTCTGTCTGTCTTTCAATTCAGTACAAGAACATATCTCACGGGATAATACTGTTTCATTCATCATTATGCCTAAGCAACCTAAGAAAATATGAAAATGTTATATACATTACTGAAAATAAAATGGATATTACTTTTATCAAGTTGATAAGAAGTTATTGACAACATCATCGGATAGCATAGATTAATGAATCATGCGAATAGTTTAAAGTATAACATATCATTAGAGATATAAGAGGAAGATTCACTATTTATAGGATTATAAGGTGAGTATTGTTGAAAGACTGCGTATGTGACTGCAAAAAATTGTTTTGATATATTTTGAGGGAGTCGTGGGGATTTGGAAATATTTCAAGTTGGTATTCATCGTAAACTGACATCAGTTGAAGGAACAAAGGAAACCAGGGAGCACTGGACAGCTGTTTCATCCTAGTACGGGACTCCTCTGCAGTGCACACCCACGACCCTGCCAGGGATCGAACCCGCGAACTTCAGGTTCCGTGGCCATTATCACGTTACCATTGAGCCACTGGATCAGAACCTAATGGTCCATATCGCCAATTTCTGTTAGCTCACGATATAGCGCAACCGCCACCCAACGTGCTGGCCACGGAACCTGAAGGTCACGGGTTCGATCCCTGGCAGGGTTGTGGGTGCGCACTGCTGAGGAGTCCCATACTAGGACGAAACAGCTGTCCAGTGCTCACATGTTTCCTTTGTTCCTCCATCTGATGTCAGTCTACGATGAATAATTTAATAATTCCCATTGTAATGCCTAGAACAACATATTCAGCGTGAAGAGACTCTTTCCGACGAATTGATTTTCAAGCTGTACAATCGTATATACATGATATTTGAGAAATTATATCGTTTGAGGAAAACTAAACACTATATAATGATAGTATTATTGCATGTAATACACCGTCGCTGATTGCAGCGAATCGGTTGGTCTCTATTGGCATATCATGGCTCAGTGGTGTAGTGGATAACACTCTGGCATTTGAAGCGATCGCTCCCGAGTTCGAACTCGGCTCTCACTGGGAGGTAGATACATTCGGCTGACGAGTCGCAAACAGGACGAAGTGAACATCCTGGATTCCACCGCTAACTACTATCCGTCAATACTATACTATGATGATTATAATGATGAAACGGATAATGATATGATAACGATGGAAGGATGTATGATAACAAAGTAGATTACGTAATATATGGAATGGTACCCAGGGGGTGCATAACTCAAAAGAGGGGGGAGGGGCAGGTGATGGAAGTGGTACATCGATTAAGTAGTGTGTAATAAGATTAGACAGGTCGGTCAAGAAGAAATCAATGTTTTCTAAAAAGATGAAGGCAACTAAGTGAAATAACACCAGAAACTTATCAAAGTGAAGGCAATCCCTAATAACAATAATAGTGATAAAGGAAGAATACAAAGGTTAAATTGACAAAGGGGAAGGGAAGCTAATTGGGATGGGAAAATGTTATGGCCATGATAAAAACAATAACTGTACATACTACTTTTGTACACACAGATCAGGTTTATAGTTCATTGATAGCTAAAGCCTCCACTGTTTTAAGGAGTTGAAAATGAAGAAAACGTAGAAGGTTTGGGTGAATTTAGAAAAGCATGAGGAGTAAGATAGACAATATTCAGATAAAAACTAGGGTTTCGAAAAAACAAATATAGAATGAAGTAGGAAAGCATAACACACATTTTTTTTAAATTATTAGTAATCATCGAGTCTGTGGATGGGTCACATGAAAAAGCGTACGTAATTTTAATTGTGAAGGTTCATTCATCCACTATGAAATTTCCTGTTCCACTTATTTCTTCCTGTAGTAGCTATATGATGTATTGTTGTGCGTTTAGAGGCCAACTATCATCGACTATGATATTTTCCTCATAGTCTTGTTGTTAACATGTCTAACGATAGGTTGAAGACATTTGAAGAGTGAGCGAGAGTATGTTTTATGATTAGTTAACATTTGAATGATGAAAACAAGTTTTCTTTTAAAAAGGAAACTGCTGACAGAGTTGTGAGGGCGGTTGAAACTTCCCGACTGCGCACACTGTGGAAGGCTATTTCTTCTTAAGGTACCTGAAAGAGATTTGTGTGACAGCACAGCCCATCGGACATCTGCTCGAGGCCTATCATACCCAGCTTTCTGAGTACGATTATTTTGAACTTTTGTATTTTTGGGGCCGTATGGTCGAAACGAAACAACAAATGAACCAACGCCGGCCCGGCAGACCGTGGGCATGGTGGTGTGTTATTTTGGGGGCCAACCTTTTCTAAACCCCCCCCTTCCACTGAGAAGGCAGCATCACCATGGCACTGTTGGTCATCCAAGGAAAACACCATACTGCTGTCACACCCCATCCAGCTAACAGCAGTACGACTTCACCCTCAGACCCCATGATAGTGTAGTAATTTACACCACAACGGTAACTGCTTTTTGTCTAACCACTATCCAACAGACCTTTCTGGTATGGTAGGACCTCGAGGGAACAAGCGTTATACCAGCATAGATCGTTGGGTCATTGTGGTATGCAAGCCCGACCACCATGTCAAGGTAGCAGCTAACGGTCGGGAGCAATTTGGTAGCCCAAAATTTAAGCAGGCCACCACTTGGAAGTATATGCTATTGTAAACTGTAATTAGCAGAGTAATGCAAGGTCGAATACACAGATTTAGTTTTAGCTTCTCGATAGTTACTGCATAGACAAAAGTAAAAGGCTTAAGCTCTTTCAACTGTTGATCACTATGGTCAGAAATACCAACGAAACTCATCCTCTTGTTTGTTCTCTTACAATGTACATCCCTTCAATGTATGTACATTTCAATTGGTAGATGTATTTGGAAGTAACATGAAGTGAGAATTTGTCTATTTTCAGTTAACAGATCAGCTTGGCAATTGGATACGCTCTGTTTAGTTCAGTATTCAATCAGTAATTGATTCCATTAGGAATTTTGACCAACCTTTAAGGCATTTATAAAAAGAAAAACTTTTCTTTACTAACTAATATTTCTAGAAATAGTCAGTATTCCTCTAACATTCCTCAGGATCTCCTCTACTTTAACTATTTGCTTGATTCACTCTCAGTGTCATCCGTTGATCCTGCCAATAACCATTTTGACGGTAATTGTTAAGGTTGTAAGCAGCTGAGAGAGAACGTCAAAGGAATGAAGAAAAAAAAATTAGCTGATATAATTCTGTTGTTTATGTGCTGTTCAAGTTTACGATGATCCATTTTGTATGAGATGACTACTGTATAAGTAACCTTTCAATGGTTGTGTATAGAACACTTCAGTAATTTGTAGTGATTACAGTTGAGATTTAATTGTATAGATTAAAAACCATCATCATAATCTCAACAATACAGGCTAAACTAATTTAGAACAAACAAAAATAAGGAAAGATAGAAATGTATTCAGCTAAATATGTGCACATTCGTACAGTTGGCAATAAGCCATACCTATTTTGCGAGGGCAAATAATACTATATGGCTACCTAGACTTCTGTAGGTGGATTAGGATTTGAACAAGTGACCTATTGGCTGATAGTTGAGTACTTAGATCAATGAGACACAGTTCTACACTATTATCTATGGGGCACAGCACTATCAGACTGTTAAGATCCATGGATAAGATTGAAATAAATAATGTACTGCATCATTACAGTTAGGCCTTCGACAGAGAAGTAATTTGACAGGCAGCTGCTTCAACACCACGGAATACAACAAACCTTTATCAACCTCATTCAACAACTATATGAAGACGCCAAATGCCAAGTAATTCACAATGGGAAGCTCAGTGATGCCTTTGGAGTGGAAGTGAAGACAGGAGTAAAACAAGGCTGCCTACTATCACCCATGATATTCCTGATTGTAGTGGACTGGATCATACAACAAATAGTGAGGAGCGAGAGAAGGGGATACGCTGGACCGCGGAAAAGAACTTGAAATCTTCTTTTAGCGGATTCATTTCTTAGTATGAAATTGTTGATTTTGATGGCTTTCAATGAAAATATCTCTATGGGTGTCATAATTATGCATTCTGAATGCTTCTCTATTTATTTCTCTTTACGCATAACAATATCTATGTTTTAAGGCTTCCCGACAAACTATCAAGTAACCTAGGAGCACTGGACTGGAACTGACAGAAGTAGGGAATGTGGACCAATGGCTAGTTTAATAGTAACATGCTGGCCACAAACATGAAGGTCTTGGGTTCTACCCCCAGAGGGGTGGGGTCATGGGTGCGCACTGCTGAGGAGTCCTATACTAGGAAGAAACAGCTGTCCGATACTCTCAGGTTTCCAATATTCCTTCAGCTGATATCAGTCTATGATGAACTCGAACCTAAAATGAATTACTTGACCTCCATAAACCTCCAGATAGAAGTATCAAGTAATCATTATAAAACGCTTCTCACGCTTGCCTACTCAGAGAGGTCTGGTATTACAGAAGAAGAAACCATTGCTTCAGAAGATTACATCCTGAAGCGTGAGACTGATAGCAAGTAAACAAGTATTCAAAGATATAGTTTAGATTCCTAAGTACTAAAACTAGCTATTTATTTACCTCTACATAAGGCTGACATTGATTTTTTACCTAGGTATGAATTGGCATAATATATCTGCTTTATCTATCTTGTTCTTTGTCCAGATTACTCTCAGGCATCAAGCCTTCAAAATCCAGTTATCTACCTAACTTTGAATTCATTAGAAAAGTTATGGACATCGTCAGATTTAAAGAAGTACCATGTCAACAGAAAACAACGGCTTTCAGGATCGAATATCGTATTGAGCGTGTGAACATCATCGGAACAAGACAGTCATTGATATATGACGGGTTGAAATTAGCGACAAAATACTTAAAATATTCGTATACTAATAGAAATTTTCTCATCCATCTTACAAAGCATTACCTACAGACAAAAATTGTTCCTTCCTGTAAAATTGGTCTGTAATCCATGTTACATGAGATATAAATAATTATTGGTAGTAGTAGTAGTAGTAATAGTAGCTACACTATGATTATTTTATACATGTAATACCTCACAACAAATCTATAGTCAAATAATACGTTATCATAGTAAATTGTGCCTACTAAACTACCTTGGATTGAAGAAGTTTTTTATATTGTTCAGAGAGATCATCGTAGATTCGAACATAATTGAAATTGACTTCTTCACTGCAGATATCCCATTCTCTTGGCCAGTCCAACTTTACATTTATGAGTCGACGTACAACAGGTGAATTTAAGTAGCTACGAATCATTGTATCATCTACACATGGGATAGCTAAACGTGTGGTCAGATTACGACGTAGCATAGTACTGAAATAGAAAAGTAGAAATTATACTCATACAGTGTGGAGAAGACAGAGGTGATGAAGATACCCAATCATACTAACAACAACAACAACAAGCACCAATCACCGTCAATGGCAGAAATCTAGACGAAGTTGCCTCATTCACCTAACTACCTAGGCAGCATTGTCTCAACTACAGGCGGAACAGGCACAAATGAGGATGTCAAAGACAGGACTTCATTAAACTGAGATCAGTGTGGAGATCTATTGCACTGCACTCAGCATGAAGCGTGGACAACATCCGGATTTTCACCTAACTAACTCAGTCAAGTCAGTGCTTCTATATGATGGCTGAGAGACTTGGTGCGTTACGAAAAGCATTTCCAACAAATTGCAGATACCTATCAACAGCTGCCGCCTATGCTCACTCCGTAATGAAGATTAGATTAGAAGGCCAGAAAGAAAAAACAACAAGGAACTCACTTTGGCTGGCAACTAACCAACCAAGAACCTGCCACCCAACAAATATGCCGAAGAAAGTGGAGATGGACTGGATTGGGCATACACTGAGGAGATTATTTGGAGACATCACGCGTCAGGCTAGGCCGTCGAGTGGAAGTCAAATAGGAAACGACGAGTTGGGCGTCCCAGGTGAGGGTGATATGGAGGAGATCGTGTGAGGAAGAAATGAAAGCTTGTTGGCAGTCGTGGAGTCGGGTTGAAAAGACTGTAGAAAAGAGAGAGGAATGGAGACGTGCCACTGAAGCCCAATGTTTCGCTGGGAACCCAAGTGACAAATAATAACAAAAATACTCATACAGGGTTTTGGGTGGATGCATAAACTAATGGTATCAACTCGACTGAGAATAACAACTTTTCAGATAGTTTTTATTATGCATAGCCATCAGGTTGATTGAACAATGGACCAACTTGAATAGCTCTAGTTTGTTTCTCCTTGACTTCAAGAAAGATCTAGTTTCTGGGACCTTTAGCTGTCGTGAGAAGCACAATTATTATTATTATTATTTATTAGAACACAAACACGGTATGGTAGAGACCAATAAATGCGTCACATAAACTAGTTAACAGCAAGATGAAGACAAAAACGATGGGAGATGGAGAAGGAAGAAAAGCAATAAGAATAGCGTGATTGGAAGGGAGGTCCAATAATGCGCAACATCTATTACTTTCCAGCAACGAAAGCTACAGCATGACCGACACTCGTTTCCATTCTCTGCCATATCTGATAACGTCTCAAGCCAATGAGTTGCGTGATCTCTCGAAACCCATCCACGGAGTCATCATGCACCAACAGATGCTAACTCGACACAACTGTCCTTCATTGCACGGTGCCACGTCATACACGCTGACCTACCTTCCACTTCCTGTATTCAGTCCCAGGGTTAGTAAACAATGAACGGTATGGAAGCTGTTGAGACGACATGCGTAACACATGTCCTAGCCACAATGACAGTGTTTCCAGATAACATCACTTATTGAATGACAACTTCCATCATGCCAAAGTACACGCCGTTGTACCTCAGATTTAATTACATGGTGTTGCCACCGGATACGAGTAATCCTACGGAGACAACAATGATAGAATATACAGAGTCAGCGCATATCCACAGCTAGGAGAGGCCAGATTCCACAGGAGTAAAGCAAAACTGCTCGCACAAAAGTGTTGCGAAACTCAACCTTCTGCTGTCAGACTAACGTCACGGCGAAGCCATAGGTGGCTCAGATTGGTGTACGCCAATTCGGAATTTCATCACCTTCTGACTCCCCCCCTTAACGATTCACCACCGAGGGTGAGCGCAGACACAGGTTCCCGCGAATCTTGCAAAAGTACTTCCCAATTACATGGTGTAAAGCATATACCATTCTTATGGACATTAATCGCCAACCGATTAATTGCGATTTGAGTAGCCTGTATGTTATCGCACAGTAAGACGATATCATCCGCATATTCAAGGTCGAGTAGCCGTTCTGTGGGTAGTAGATCTACGCCACCATTATGCATCTCCTTCAGATCTGTCTCTAGAATGTCATCGATGGCAATATTTTCCAGACAATCGGTCTCAACTTATCGATGTACATCTAATATCTCAATTCGTAGCAGAATATTTAATTGTATGTCTTGAGTATTATTATTTGATAAACAATAAATAAGATGGGCAATATATAAATAAAGAAGTTTGATAATTGTATATAACATCCTTTAGGGTTTATTAGTTCAGTGGAGCTGTGGTTCGTCGGACTAGGCACTGAATGCTCAGCCAATGGGTCACGGTGTTCGATCCAAGCTCCACTTTCTGAGATTTGAGGAGCCGGGTAGTATTTTTAGCCCTCACACAACAGATGTGGTTTATTGCTTACTGTACAAATGTACAAAAGGCTACTACTGAGTGGGTCTTCTTATTAGTTTATCAGTAAAGTTTGGGTAACCTACTTTTAGATACTTTCATCTGTTCACATAAATGTGTAATCATTCGAGAAAGACGGACAAATCAACGTAGAAATTGATACAGAAGTGAATATGAAAAGTGAACGAAACAAATGAAAGTATATGGAGAGTAGAGGAGGGGGAGACGGATGCACGTTAATGAAAATATTCAACATTTCGAAGATGACGAGGAGTGGACACATTTCCGCCGTTATGCCTACTAAGAGTCTACATCTGTTAATTTACATCGTCTAGATGATTTCAACCGAGAAGTTTACACATCCATACCTGGCTCACAACAACAGTCAGCCTGTTAGCAAACAATGTATAAAAATTTCGTCTAGATGCCTAACTACTGCATAATGCAGGATTAAAACGTTGTCAACCGCTGAGAATCTAGAAAAAAAACATTGGATGACGAAGAGCAGATTAAAACCCTTGTCCACTGAATTTAAGAATTCACAGAAATATAACTCGACTGTTACTCCATATTAGACTGTTTATCTGAAATAGCACGGAATGGTAATATCTTTTACAGGAATATACAATTTATTGTTCATAATTATCAGCTTCGGTATCTTAAGCATGTCTTCCCAAAGGCTCCCACAGCGCTCACTGTTCACTTGCCCTAGGACCAGTTAGAAGTGAAGAGGCAATAGTGCTACGAGATGAGAACATTTGTATTGGGTCAGCATTTGGGTGAAATTCGAAAGATTATGCAACTCAGTAGAGCTTGAGACCATAATAGGCATGGTTCAGAGTGGAGACCACTGGTGGTCGTGTCACAGGTTTATTCCATTCCCGATCGATAGCTGCTACGTTGACGTCATGGTCTCGCTTGCATTATACAATGATTCGATGACTAACACTGGCTGAGACGTCGGTTCTCTTGAAATCTGACCATCCCAGAAAGGTCTATTGGATAGTAGGAAGATGAAAAGCAGTTACCATTATGATGTAAATTTCTACGGTATGATGAAAGTGCGAGGAGTGAAACCGTACTGCTGCTAGTTGGGCTGGGTGTAATAGCAACTAAGTTTTCCTAATAGACAGCCAGTAGTCTAATGATGATTTTGCCTTCGCGGTGGGCTTCAGAAAGTTGACCCACAAAATAGCACACTCCTCCCTACTCCACGGTATTCCGATGCCGGTGACGTGTTTTTCCTAACCGGGGTTGGACTAACCAAATATAAAACCAAAAATCTTCAAACGTTTATGTATGAAAGGACGTATGCAGATGTTACATGGGCTCTGTGGTCACACAAATCTTTTTCTCTTTCATGTATCCTGAAGGTTTCTTCTATTACACTGAAGAGTAAGACGAAAATAGTGAATACTACTGTGAATGTATTCTTGAAACTGCTTCTTCAGTAAGTCAATTTCTGTTTTTAGCTCAATTCTTCAAGTACCACACTCATGCCTTCTTAATGTTGCAGTATTATTTTATATGGTGCATCTCTTGGTGCTTATGCCATACCAAGTTTGTTTTCTAAATCCCCACAACCTCCTAGAAATTCAATTGAACTAATGCTCATTGGTGACTAGCTTTGAGAGGGAATTTGCGAAGTTCCAATGAGAAGTCATGACCAGTGGGGCTAGCCTGATGGTCATGAAGACAGTTACTCAACGATGACATCAGGTGGCGGTTGTGCTGTGTCGTAAACTAACAGATGTTGGAAATATGGACCATTGGATTCCGACCCAGTGGTTCAATGGTAACGTGATAACGGCCACGGAACCTGAAGGTCTCGGGTTCATTCCCTGGCAGGGTCATGGGTGCGCACTGCTGAGGAGTCCCATACTAAGATGAAACAGCTATCCAGCGCTCACAGGTTTCCATTGTTCCTCCAACTGATGTCAGTCTACGATGAATACCAACTCTTGAAATATTTCTAAATCCCCACAACCTCGAAATTCACTTAAATAATAAATATGAAAAAACTCACACTTATTTGTTCTTAATATGCGCGTAGTTAGTTTAGGCTGTGAAAACTAAGAATAATGTTAAGCATTTAACAGAATATTCAACTAATGATACTATGCAATATGGTAGTCATGGAAACACAAAAGTAGTATGTGGCATGCTGTCCCAAAGAAAACCAAGTAGAGTTATCATCTATTGGATAGTAGAGGTTCCAAGGGAAGAAACGATGAAAACAGGAAGGAAAGAAACATAGAAGGTGAGTGAAGAAGCAACAAAAATTGAAGATCAATTCATCTTGAATGTTCAGTATAAGGTTTTCATACTTTTACTCAGTTCTCATCTAGTTTTCTTACTACAAAATACTACTATGCATTACCAAACAGCACACCCGCATACATATGTCTACTGAGAAAAATTGAGTTCCATCATCATCAATATCAACATAAGACCAGGCATTACTGCCTAACGGTCCAAATTGCCACACCTCATATCAGTACATCAAGTAGAAAGGTAGTGAGGTGAAGGAGGAAGATAAGAGAATGAAGTCAAAAGAAATATAAAGTACGAGAAGAAAGAAATGAGGAATGACAAAATGGTGAGATTCGGTATAGCGTCGTCAAGATGAGGATAACGTGTGTAGACATCTGCACCACTG